GCAACCCTGTCCACTTCTCTTTTGCAATATCCTCTCCTTCACAAGCCTATAACCCACCATTCTTTCAACTTTTGCAAAAGTTACTGGCTGTCTTCCAACCCAGAGTTCCCCAACACCATATACACAGCACTGCTCTATGAACAGATGTTTGGTGTCTTCACAAACTCCTGGCCTGAGCTCAGGAAGAGGGAAGGGAGCCACAATTCTCTATGGTTCCTTTTGCACGAGAAGCTCCATCTTGGCTCAGAACATGCTCAAGCAGAGACTGCTCAGCAGCATTATTTGGAAATTTCAGAAAATTCACACTCCTAAAGCTGGAAAAGGGAAGGGGTATGTCAACTTCTCTCAACTGAGTGTTTTTCCAGCTTTATTTGGCAGGCTTTAACTCATGAAGCAATAGTACATTCTTGGTGCTGGAGACACGCTCATGGTGCATGTTCACTGCACTGGACAAGTTTGATTCCAGGAATAAGTTTATTAAATTTGGGGTCAAGCAATAATACATTCACAGCAATATAGAACAGTTAAGAGTCAAGAACCCAATCACACACCTCACTTTCAGACAATGCTTCCACTTGAGTTGACTGGAATTTTGAGTGATAAATGTCCACCATGCTAAAAACAGAACATTAATATAAGTATTGATATATTGTAAGGGAAATGGATTCCAAAAACTTGCTGTAAACTCTGCCATTCTTTCACAAAGATATAGCAATATACCAATTCACATCTCATCTGTAACATTAATAATGTTTTCAAATAAATATGTACACTTAGCATCCATTCCTTTTCTGGAGATACTCCTTAGAAAATAAGTCACCCTATTTTTTTTACAGTTTTACTATCAAGAAGTAATGGGATTCTTCCTTACCACTCTCACTCACTCCCACAATATTAGGACAAAGAACTTACCTATGAGTATTTAATAAGGCGTTGATTTGCATCTGGCAATTCTGTGGCACTGTGGGTTGTACTAAAATTCTAAGTGATACTATTTTACAGAGAAACAAAAATAAGCAGAAAACAAATTTGTGGGGTTTTTTTATTATTGTTGTTGTTAGGAAGATAATCTGAAAGGAAAAGTTGTTTAATTTGTAAGCTTATAAAAAGCAACAGGAAAGAATTGTGGGCCATCATGTAAACAGTGGGTTAAAAATCAGTAGCTGGTGTTAGTAGTCTCTAGAAATACCGAACCCTTAAAACAGTCCTTAGCCAGATACAGTAACTTGTGCACTGGGAATCCCCACTGTGGGCATAGACAACCTGACTGAAGAAAAAGGGTCTCGCATTCAGGGAACTTGGCTTCAGTTTCTGGTCTTAGCCACGAAATTTCTGTCTGGCCCTTCATAAATGGTTAATCTCTACACCTTAGGTTTATCTGCTAAAGCAGAAGGAAAGCCTGGGAAAAAAATGCATGATACTTAATTCCAAAACTTAATACAAATAAGGAACTTACGGTGGGCACTCTGTCCAATTATTTTGGATAAGAAATCATCTTAAACATTGTAGTATCCATTACTTAACAAATAGATCATCCCATGTTTGTCAACAAAACATCATCTTAAGAAGCAGCTGAAAAGCAAAACAATCTAAGCTAAAGAAATAGTGACTGAGAATAGCCTGAAGTTTTGATACAAGCAGCAGCTGATGAAATAATGTGGTGTTGCTTAGAAGTCACTGAGAACCTGTGGTTAGTTTCTATTCTGTAGCCTTTTCTAAGCAATGGCTTTGCTTTTCTTTGACGTTTTCAGACCTTTGCATGAGGACAGACAAAAGTGCAACAGGGTTTCCCCACTGACATCACAGCCACTGAAATCAGGAGTGACCTTTAAGGTTGAACACAAGATTTGCATTTGATCATACAAACCTCTGCTTGAGCTCCATAGCTGGGCTGCTGGACAATCCATCTCAGTTTACTTGTTACTGAAAGGTGAGCTCAAACCAACTTTAAATAACCAGAGTTTAGAGAAATTAAGATGTAACCTTTACTAAATTTTCTCCATCTGAAGTCACAACATGTATGAATTGGGAGAGCAAATTAACATGCTGCAGATTATTCATTTCGGTAAAACGAATAGTATTTAGTAAACTGATTGATAATTTTACCAAGCATTTACCCTGAATTACAGCAAAGTGAACATCTCTGTACTTGCACAATTTACCATTTGCTGCAAGGCAGGATTTATTTAGTGGGTGAACAGAGGAACAGAAACAGGGGATTCCCTGGCCTAGTACATTGCTAGTACTTCACTGCTTGCAACACAGTCATTTTCCTCAAAATACAATTCCCAGGGGCATATTTTTGTCTCATTTGGTTGTAACTAAATTACTGCAAGCAATCACTCTACAGAAGATACAGTTTCCATGATTTTCCAGTTGTTCATGATCTGGCAAATTCGGTAAATGCTTTGAACGAAAGCTAAACCGGGTTTCTTTACACACCTCCCAACATGTAATCCTGCATAGCAAATAACATACAGTTAAAGACCTGTAAAAACATTCAAAATGAGTGGAGAAAATTAACATATGCTGTATCATCTAGATAAAACCAAAAGTGAATGTAATGATCAGTTACAAGTCATGCAAGAAACAGAGACTTCAGTTTCAGAAATACAATTCAGAGCCAGCACCAGCTTTCAGTTTCCTGACAGCCTAATGCCTGTTTCACTTGAGAGAGCAGAAAATGCAGAAGCGTAAAATAGCTGGCACTTCTTTAGCTTAGTTATTAGAAATCTCTGTTGGATTGCTCATTATGACAGGTTTCTGCCTTTCTGCTTCAGGCTGTATGTAATAAAATGAAAATTCAGTATCAAATAAATAAAAAGAGGAAAAAAACCCTAACAAAATCACAACAAACATTGTTCCAAAGCAGTGCTGAAGGCATTTAGCCAAGAATTACACATCAAGTGATTCGCAAAATCTCAGCTTTTCTTCCTTGTGTGCATGCACTCAGAGTAGGTGGCATAATTTCTGTTCTGGCCAAGTGACCACACTGGAAAAACAGAGCAGAATTAAAACTGCACAGATAAAAGAAATTCTAGCATGTTCTAGCTTTAGTACCTACCTGCTTCAGCTTTTTATTTTTATCATATTATCATCCACACAAATTGTTGGTTATGGCTAGTCAACACTTCCTATTTTAAGGCCACATTTTCAGTCACCCTCAGTTTGCCAAGACTTTTCTTCACATGATCACACACACTGCCCCTTGAGATGATTTTTTAGGAAAAACAGAACAAATATGACTCAGTCATTTTTCTACGAATGACCATGGGGAACATAGGCTTTAATTGTATTCAAAGAATTATTAAACTTTTAAGAAAATTCTTTGCATTTCAGAAACAGGGACATGAAATTTAGCAGGGAGGCTGGGCTGGTGTCACTACTGGGATTTTTTGCTCTTCCTTGGAAAAGATTGACTTGCATACGCTTGCCAGATTTGCTTTTAGTAGCCAAAATTTTCAGCTTTCTCTTCACTACACAGACATGCAGAGAGTGAGGTGGATAGTGCCCACAGTAGGCAGCTGATTGCCAGGCTGCCACAGGCTGAAACTGAAACAGGGCAGGTTATCTTTCCTCTAGTTTCAGGACTCATGGGAGTTTTACTCATCACTACCAAATAATGTATACCCAGTTCAAATTCAGAAAGAGGGACTAAGGTGCAAGAGGGAAATGGGAATCATCAGAGAGAAAATAGGCAAGAGTCTGAGATCAGAAGAAATTAAAAGAAGATGAGGTGTGCATGAAAAACAAGGTTGGTGGAAGACAGCAGGAGGATTCAGACAGTGTCTTCACAGGAAAGAGGAACTACCCAAAGATAAACAGTCCATATAAATTTCTTGAAGGTCAGACAGCCGAGAGTTTAACAGACTGTATTTTCCAGCATAAAAGTCAGTCCCCAGGCTACTCCTTTGTCAAGATCCTCGCATAATAACATCCAAGGTTCAACAGCTCTGGGCCCGGCCCCCCAGGGCACATGGCGGTTGAAGAAACCCTCATCCATGGGACAGTCCGCACTGACCAACACGATGTAGGCAGGAAGGTGTGCCCACCACCGCACCAGGCTGGACATCACCCCCGGGCACTCCGCTTAGTCCCGCAGTGCTCAGGGAAGGCAGGCACAGCAGGGGGGACACTGGGCGTCCCCGCAGGCCGGTGGCCGCGGTGTCAGCAGCGCAGGAGTGACGCTGCGCGGTGGCCACACGCGGCACCGTCACAGCACACACGCCGCCCTCGGACCACGCCCGCCCCCGCCGCGGGCTCCTGCCAGGAAAGCGCCCCGGGCGTGGGACGGGCACAGCTCCCCTGCGAGCCCGGGGAAAGGGCACGCAGCCTCCGCAGCCACCCGCGGCACGTGGAGGAAGGCAGAGGGCAGCAGCCGGCTGGGCTGGGCATGAGCCCTTGTGCCTACACTCCAACTCTTCATTTACTGGAATAATGCACAGAAGAAGTGTGATGAGATAATTACAAAAATACAGGAGTTTTTGCTGGTCTTTTTAGGCTCAATAGCTTATGTCACTCAGCATTACATAAGAAAGGGTTAGTAAACCCCCTCGCTTCCACAACCAAGTTTAACACATTTCAAGATACCTTTTTTCCTCTTTGCTTTTTCCTCCTTAAGGCAAAAAGTAAGTATTCTGTTACTTTCTCTCACTTTCTACAGGTAAATCAATTGCTACAGCCAAAATGTAGGTGACTTCACATTTAACTGCTTTGTTGCTTGTACCTCACAAGTAAAACCACAGATGTTAACTCCTGCAAGGGAACTTCTTGCACAAAGTTACTGACCAGACACAATTTCAATGCAGAGCTGCTCCTCTTGGAAGAGACTGAGATGAGGGACCCATGCTCAAGACAGACACCCAGAAACCAGCTAGGAAAGCAGAGAGAAAAGAACATTTGGAGGAAGTCTGATACCAAAGAGCTTCCCTCACTGAGTCATTACGGCAGACTAACTTCCCTTTCAATCACTTTAACAGAGGAGAACACCAAAATTGAGTAAGTTTGAACTTTATTTACAAACAGCTGAATTCTAATCTGCAGAGTCCCGGGGTAGCATCCAACTTTTGCAGTATCCAGGTAAACTCCTGACAACACTGACATCACTTAACATCACACTTGACATCCTTATATGTCAAGACACATTAAGATAAGACGTGCAATTCACCAATGGATCAAGTCTGAGAAACTAGTAACCTAAATTCTTCCTGAATGTTCTTCTCAAAACCCTGAACATTCTTCTTAAAACCCTAAGAGTGAGGAAGAAAATTTAAAAAAATTATAAAAAGCAATTAGAAGATAATTTTATTTACTCTTGCCTTGTGGCTATCTGTGTAAAGCTATGCATTAGTTAGGTTACTTTAGTTTGAGAATAGTTGCATAGGTGCATGTGCTGACATAGAGCCTATGGGAAAACCATCCCTTAAACAGTCTTGGAACACTCATGTGGAAGAGTTTAAAACCATGGGAATATTACAGCACTGTAGTCTACTACAAAACACTTCCCATATTAGTTTTGCTGTTTATCTTATCACCGCCTTTAGCTTTAGTTCCTTCAGATTCATGATGCATTTGTATTTACACAGATGCTGAAGTCGTATGCCTCCTGTAACTGGTACACAGAAGTGACAATGTTTGAGTACCACTGTTTTAGAACAGGTCAGAAAAAAGAGGCAACTGTTTTATAAACCCAAGATGTAGTACTGCTAAAAGGTACTTAAGTAATAGGGGTACTGTTTCTTAATTTTACCCTAAAGCAAAGCCTTGCAGTCTAAGTTTTGGGGGTTTTGGAAGGTGGAAAGAAGAACAAGGCCTCAAACCCACTAAGGTCAATTTCTAAGGGATAAATTGCACTTGAAACAAGCTGGAAACCAGAGAATGAGGGAAAAAAATCAAGTAGAATGTGATAAATGTAGCCGTGCTTTCTCCATGGGCTTGGGATACTAACAGCAGAGGGAATGATAAGGAGTTAAGACATGACAAGATAGATTACCACCTCTTATTTCCTTACAGTCCTTCAGTTTCATCACGAAGGTGGATACTTAAGATGTTTAGAGCTCAGATTTGCTCCTTAAGACAAGCAACTCATTTTAAAACAATTCAGGGGTATCTCTGTCCACATATCAAACTGAGACTTCAGGTGAGTTATGCAGTTTGCAAACTGCACAATGCAGAGGGCATTAAACCAAACCCCAGATGGACCAGAAGCAGGAAAGCAAAGCAGTGTTCCTAGTCTCCTCAGAGTTACTCTAGCATGGCAGTTTAGCGGTGGGCTTGGCAGTGTTAGCTTTACAGCTGGTCTCTAACTTAAAGGTTTTTTCCAACCTAAATGATTCTATGACATTAAAATTCTGTAGAACGTTTTTTTTCCTGGCACTGCCTTCCTCCCATCCCTTTAGAGTTGGTTTAGGTGTTTAGATTTTTTAAGCAGAGCCCATCTGCACTAAAAAAAAGAAAGAAAAGGAGACTAAAGATTTTAAATTTCAATTTGAAGATAGTTTTTTACAGTACATGCAAAAATACTTTGGAAAAACAACTTACAAGTTCACTTATGAAACCACCAAATTATAAAGACATTACAATAGAGAAATAGCATAATACTTGTTTCATATAATCAAAATTTCTCCCCACCCCCTAAAACCCCTAATGCACTTAGCTGGGTAAGCAGTGTTATCAGTTTAGAGAACCAGACTCAAGACTACAACAGGTTTTCATGTAAGCATTTAGAACAGCTTTCAGGGTTTATCTGAAACCACTTTCTGCATGCAGCTTGCAGGTGGGCAGTAGTGTCAGGACAGCCTCAGCTGTTGCAATGTTTCAGTGCATCTTCACTGTGTGTTCAGAGTTGGGCTTTACTACCTAGTGACATAAAAACACCTCTCAAGTCTCATGCTGGAGCAGTCTTGAGACAAAAAAACCTATCAGATAACACAGCATGGGACATGTCTATCTAATCTCCATACCTTGGTAGCATCTTCTGCTGCATTTCCTTCAATACTGAAATCACTTACGGGCCTCCATGGGAGGCAATACCTGTGTAGTGCATGGCTGTGCAAGGCAGTGGGAAGCCGCGAGCCAAGGAAGCTGAGCACCATTGTGAGAGAAGCACAGGAGTATGTGTGCCAAATGGGAAAATAATTGGAGAGAAGAACAATGCATGCACATGAATAAGGCAAGCACAAAGGAATACAAGCACGTTCTTACACACTTGAAAACAGAATGTGGTTGCAGCAACTAATTAGCCCTGGTGACATACATTCTGAATCCAAGGCATAGGACAGGTTGGTTTTTGTAGCTGTTTCAGCTGGTGACAACTTCGACTTTTTAAAAACCCCTAAACATAACTGTTACAAGCACATGCAAAGAGTAATTCAAAAGGAAGCAAGCATCTAACAGCAGTATAAAAATCAGAACATGATTTTAACTGGTCAGTTACAGTAGGGCCACAGTAACCTTCGACCTTTGTTAGTAACTACAACACACATTCAGAATAAGGACTGGCAACAAGTGATTATCCTCTTCACCTGAAGATCAACCACTTACCCATTAAGGGTAAGTTTGATGGATCTTTTAATAATACGAATGCTATTTGTTGGAACAGGAGATGAAGAATCTGGCAGTTCTTTACTGGAAAGCCTCTGTAACACACAAACAGAAGCCACAGGAAAAAAAGTGAAAAAAGGAATTAATTTTTGAATTAATTTAAAATTCATTAATTCAGAAGTAGCAGCAAATAAACCCTTTCCTAGCTGAATATAACATTCTTTGTGTAACATTGTTTATGTACCAAACCTGTAAGGCCCAAACCCGTTTTCAGAGAAGCCTTTTTTTAAACCACACCACTTATTTAATTACCACCAGAGAAAGAGCATTTCCCCCTCTGCACAATTCTTTTCTTGCATGAACTGAGACCAGTATATCCCTGATTGGGGGGAAATTAGCCATGAGTTGCTCAACAGCATAGTAAAGGAAGATTTTTCTCAGATCCATGAATCAGGAAAACAGAGTCTCCACTGTCTGGATCACTTCCAGTCTCTCAATTTCACAACATTCTACATGACACAGCAGTTAGTCATCTATACACTTCAAAGCTTCAAAGTCTCATCATAGAAATCAGTATACAAATACTGATAACAGTACAAGAAAACCAAACCAAGACACAAACCCAGTGTCTGAGGGCAAGGAAACGTGGCTTTCTAAGTTCAAAACTTGGAAACTCTGGCTTTTGTGAAGGCCATTATTCAGTTACTTAATTTGTTGGAAGCACAACAGGCAGAACCCTACTAATTTTCAAACCACCAAGTTTAATGGTACATAAATCTTTGCACACATAATGAAAATGCTAGCTCTGCTTCACCTATGAATACAAATGCACAATAAATACCTGTGATCTTGATGTGATCACTGGAATCTGCATGGATTTTCCATCAAGGACACCCTAAAAAAGCCAGAAGGGATTTGTTAGGCAGTATTGCCAGGTTCCTGACTGAGAATCAGCAAGTTCGGACAGCAAGGATACCTTGAAATCATACATGCATTAACAACCACCACCCCATGGGGTGGGGGACTAGGTATCCTGAAGCCCTAAAACCACACAGACAGTGGTTCAGGTATTTCAACCCTCACCAATAAGATCTCATCCTGATTTGAGGGTGTGCCCTCAAGAGTTTATGCCTCAGTAACAAGCACCATGAATAGCAACGCTCTTTATCTTCCCTTTGAGAGGCCAAAGGATTTAGTCTTTACAGCAGTTTTAATTTACACCAGTGAATCAAATAGTTTTAAAAAGAAAATTCAATATTATTTCAAACATGGATTAGACACTATCAAATCAACATAGTAACATTTAACATAGGTGATACAAGTGTAATATTTGGGGAATGAGGACTGAAATAAGAGAAACTAAAAAGTGTGGTTTTGCTTCCTTCAGTAAGCATGCAGAGAATTTATGTGAGGCAGTCTAATCACTAAACTATTCAGCTTTTCAGTTAGTCCACTGAGTAAAATCACTTAAAAATTACATTTTTTGTAGCTCTTTTCCTCCCATCTTGAGGGTATCCACTTTCTGTGAAATCGGAGTCCCACACGCTTAGCTGGAGGAACAAAATACACAGACTCTAAATAAATGCTGTACTAAAATTTTCTTATTTGGGTACAGCTTCCAGTCAACACATTAAATGTATTAGGGGCCATTCTTAAAAGTTTTTGTAAGTCCACCATTACCCCACAGGAATTTCAAGCCTCTGAGAAAGCCCTACTACCCAAACCTTGAAATCTGTACTTGGAATATTCAGTACTAGATTACAGTTATACAAGATGATTTTTTTAAGTGTCAAAACTTGTTCTACATCAGTAATTAATACTACTTGCAACCCTCCTTGGCCTAGCGCCCCTTTCTTGCCTTTTCTCCATCTATGGCTTTTTGGGGGCACTCTCCTGATGTAGTTGGACGAGATACTTTAGAGGTTGGTGAATAATGCTGCTTGGTTGAAGCACTCTTAGGATCCGTGATTAGAGTCCCACTTAATTTATGCTGTCCTTGCACAAAACACGTTCTGAGTTGACAAACTGTGTTATATCCTGGAATGGTGCAACCAATTGGAGGTCCCGATGTTCTTAGTGCAACTGTAGCCTCCATTTCTGTAGGAGACACCTGGCTTTTAGAGTTTGGCCACAAAATTAAAAACTACATTCCACCTACCACTTCAAATACATACTTGGGTCAGTCACAGGAATGCAAAGTCCCTTAGACGTGGATGGCTCAGCTACACTGTTGGCACCACTACAACTCTGACATTCAACATTTCTATAAAAGTCAAACACTAGAGTTATAAAATGCTAGTTTGTAAGATACTGCATATGTCATTTCCAGAAAGTGCATGCAAGACAAACATCAACCTCCTTAGCTCCTGTCAGAGCTCTATTAAATAACACAATCTCCCAGGCAACGTAGCACCAGACCATAATTTTGCTGAATTTCTGACTGCAGATTTAAACTCAACATTTTCTTTACTGAGTCTTTATGTGCTGATATATTTTCCCAGACTAGTCTACCCAGCACACTGTGCTGCCTTGAAACAATGTTCTGTTCTACCCAGATGTCCACACAATTTTTTTTTTCCATGTGACTCCTACAGTATCAAGCATTCTGAACAGAGCAGGTATCACACATCTGGGAGGACTGGGCAATTACTCTCAAGATTACACAGTCTTCCTGTGCTTAGGGATAAATAGACTTCCCAGGAAGTGACAGACTTTTTACTGCCCAAGTTCTCATACCACTCCACTAAGTCAGCAGCAGCTCTGGTATTTCTGAGACCAAAATCAGTATGTCATTAGAACTTAATCTACTTGGCATTAACAGTACTTTTTTTTAGAAAGAACAGTCACTTGCACATGAAACACCCCAGCTTCATGTTACCCACTACCCTGTGAAGATTTACATTCAAGACTAAATAATTTCCCTGGTGTCAAGTTCTCCATTCCTACATGTTCATAGATACTATTTAGTTTCTTCCAAGGATTCCTTTAACTTGGTCTCCTACCAATGCCCAATGGAGATTCCAGCTTTGTTCCTGAAGCTCTTAGAGCCCTCCACATGCTTATGATCCACATGGATCCAAACAAGAAATCCTAGACTCATTTACAGTGTGAGTCAGTTAAAAGCAGCTTCTCCACAGTTCCAAGGTTATGGCACTAACCTTTCTGCCTCTGCTGTAGAGATGTCCAACTTAGATATCTTATTTAATGAAGAGGAATTAGAGGGTGTTCTGGAATCTCTGTCTTTAGAACCATCCGAACAGCTTTCACCTAAAGAAGACCTTTTGCACTGAAGTCCACTATTATTTTGACTATTATCTGACACCCTTTGCTGAAACGACAGTTAAAAAAATAAAGTCTTCAAGTAATTATTAAAGCTTTTATTAAAAATTACCAGAAGCGCTGAATTTTTATTATACCTTCTTTCTTTTCTGTAAGGTTCCTGCTGGCAAAAAATAATGGAGTTGCTTTCTCTTCACGTAAGTTGCCTCAATCTTCATGCCTTCCTTTAGGATGTTGAGGGCACTGGCCTGCCTGTAAACTGACATCAAAAACAGCACTGTAGCTTAGTGGGGATGTTTGCATTGGTGCTGGTCAGTTATATATGGTTTCTTTAGAGACATGTCTGCCCAGCCCAAGTCAAGAGTTCCCAGCTTAAGTCAACACAAAATGCTGCCTAGGCACTCTCAGTCATCACAAGAAGGTGACTGTGACTTGTGATGCCCATTTCACATTCACTACAGCCCAGCCACAACAGCTATTTGAGTTCAAATTTGCATTTTTAAATTTTATCTGTCTGAGGAAGCCAGACTGGATTTTAGGGACATCCGACTTTATAATAGACTCGCTACAATTTAAACAGGTTTATCTCAGGTGTCTGCAAACAGCCTTTTATGCAACTGACAAATGCTATAGCAGCACAACAGTTGTTACACATTAAGTCACTTTTAGATACGCTTATCTAATGGCCTATCACTGGAGCATAACTGGAAAGTCAGCTTACTGACACCCAGAGTGGGAATCAAAGCAAGGATACACAACTCAAAGGCTTTCTACAGGAGACCAGAAGTGCAATAAAAGCACAGACATGAGCACACACACTAGTATGGACAGTTCCTTCAAGTGGCATTCAAGAGTTTGTATGTAAAGGGGAAATAAAGTTCACTGAACAACAGCCCTCCAAACTGAGCCTTCTATTCTTGGGCTTGTCAACTTGAAATTAATCTTTGCCTTCTAAAATTATTCTCTCAAAGTCAAGGCACATGCTAACAGCTCTCCAGCACAGAACTACTGGTCATCCCCACACGTGCCAAAAGATTTCCCATCTCTCAAGGAACAGTTTTTCTGCTCAATTCTCTCTGAATTCACACTCTACATCCAGCACATACCATAGGCCGTGCTTCACTAAAGTAAGAGCACACAGCCTTACTGACAATGTTTGTACACAGAAAATTAGCCATTAATTCTGGCCTCTCAGCAGCAGTAAATCCCATTTACATAATTCACATTTGCCATTGAAATGTAGTGCCACTGGATGCAACATGCAAGTACAGATAACAGTGCAAGTCTGAGGAAATCACCCTGCCTGGCTTGTAACTCAGATGAGAGTTCTGATCATTTTTCTCTGCTTTTCTCATATCCCAAGAGAGCTAAGAAGAAAGTTGTTTGGTTTTACTGCTTTTACTCATGTCATCTGAGCAAAACAACATAGAAGTCATGCTGGTGTTGTGGATGAACTCCAAAAATTTACAGGATTTCACTGTTTAGAACTCTTTGTCCAAACACACTTGTCAATCAGAAGAATAGCTTGATTTCCTTATTATTCTAGCATTATCTAACAACACCTGCAATCTTAATGTATTTCTACATCTATCAAAAGTATCAGGCATTAACAGATTATGAACATGAAAATTACATGCAAGACTGCATGTAATTACAATGAGACAACCCAGCAACTCTCCCAGTTCTGGGATCATATTGTACACAAACTGTCTTGGAAAAATACTATGAACAACTCCTTACAGAACTTGACACAATCGCTTCTCACTTCCAAAGTTCGGCAGCTGATTACTGTTTGACAAGTATAGCTACCCCAGCAAAATGGGCATCTCTGGGCTTCACAACTCACTGCCCCCTACAAGGAATGCAGTTTTGTGGGGACTGATTTCACATATGGTACACAGTGTATGACTGTAACACGCTTTTGTTTTAAGATGGCCTTACTTTGACAAAGTGTCAACACAATGTGTTTTTGATGCTAATCTTTTATACATGTTGCTATCTACAGGGATATCTAATAACAAAAGGAAGTACTTTGTGAAGCAACTTCCACTGGAATAAAAAGAATGACACTCTACAAGTCTAGAGCAAAAATAGAGCCTTACCTGTATCTGTGAATGACTGTATCCCATGTGTTAGATCAACGTTAGTCTTTACTGCACTTTCTGCTTTCTTAAACACGAGGCCAAGAAACCACATTGATACATAGCCATTCCTAAAAAGAGAGAGATCATACATGAGTTGGGCACAGATACCAGTCACTTGGATTCTGGTACATTTTAGTTGTTCAGTTTAGAGGCAGCTCAGACTTAATTTCTCAGAGCACTCCTCCCTGAACTGCTCCTTTCTTTAAAAAGATGTGATGTGCTCAGGACCCTGCCAGAAATGTACTGAATCTCTCTCACCAATGAGCTGAGGGGAATGAAGATACAATTTGGCCAATGTGTACTTCAGAAAAGTAACAAAACTCACTGTTTATAGAGAACTTCATTGCCAGGGAAAGACTGTGGCTGCACATGTGCAATAGTTATAAACTCATTTCTTTCCAAGTTTCCAACCAGCACACGAATTTTAGACTTGACGAGGCCAATCCTAATAAAAACAAGAGGTATTTTATTAATTTTTAACAGTTTCCACCTCATCAGTTAGATGCCTTTTTGTAATACAGTGTTAACCAATCAATAAGGACCAAGTTCCATACAGCTGAGCAGACACTAGATCTTTATATCACTTACACACACTGTAACTTGACATGTTTCCTGTGACATTTGTGATTTTGTTTCTAAAGACAGAGACAAGTAAGTTTTACATATACTCTGCACAGTTCAGATACAACACTCCCACCTGTAAACTATGATGGAAGTAACAAGGAGCAGATCCCATCATCTGCAGCAAAACTCCTTTTTGCCACAAGAATCAAGGAGAATGGTGGTTTTGAAAAGGCTCAAGCACAGTTGTTCAGTTACACCCAAGTAAAGATGCAATGCTTCTTGCAGATTGATCAGTGAAAATGTAAAAGTAGTTATTTTAATAAACAAATCATGTAGTCAACACTCCTCTCAGACTTCCCTAAGAAATGAATCATGACCACCCTTGTAGTCATGGACCCTTTAATTTCGATAAAGTACTGGTATCTCATCCTTCTGCCTAAAATTGTTAGCTTTAAAAGCAGTCAGAAATCTGTATGTTCTTCAAAAGCATCTTATGTTGATGAATAACAGATGTTAACTATTTCCAAATGCACTCAAGAATTGGTGAAATGAACTTTCCCTTATCATAGACTGAAGCAAGTTTATCTTCTGCTTATCATTTTCCCAAACTGCAAAACTGAAAAATTCACCTCTATTTCTGTCACTGAAATAAAACATCAGCTCTTACCACAGCCAGAATTTCCCTTGTCTTTATCGTGAGGTACATTAAGCTTTGTTCACCCAAGAACATTTCACATTAAAAATTATTTGGCCCTCTGCTCATACACCTTGTTGCACACAACTGTGACTGATATCAAGCTGCAGCTGGTAAGATTTTTAGGTGAATATTTTAAAAAGTTCAGATAAAAAGCATTACCTATTAAAACTATTTTTAAACATTAAGCTATCTTTTAGAGATGGCACAGGAATTATTTGATTTAAGGCACAAGCCAAACTTTGAAATAAAAATAAGGTGCCCTTAGAATGGGTGTCTGTTACAGAGAGGTATTTTGCTTACTTACTTGAGCAAAGCAAGCAAAGTACTAATTTCTTAACAAAGAAACCCACTGGAAAGTCAAGAAACACACATTACAGTGACTTAATTCCTCACCATTTCTCCTTATTTCAAAATGACTCAGCACATTCACATAGGTTAAATAAGTAATTATTGGCAAATCTCCTTTTATTGAAGAAAAATAGGTTTGGAATAGGCTGACTACACAGCAGTGCAATCTAGTCCTTAAATATTACAGTAAAACTCTTAATGAAAAGAAGCGTAAGGCTCCAGAACAGTGCTCTTCAAAGCAGGGAGGGAAGGAGCTGTATTCTATGCCTAGTTGCATAGTTACAGACTTTGTTAATATAATTAACAAAAATATGGTACAACATTGAATTGAGTTTCAGTTTTGCATTGGACCCACATTTAAAGCAGCACTTACCAGTTTAAATGATGCTCTTCTGTAAAGGCACTGGCAGTCAGCACAATGTAATGTCTAGAAGAAGAAAGGCAAATGAATACACTAGTTCAAGATTTTATTCTACATTCTAAACAACAGATGATTTTTTTTTCTTGGTAGGAAAAATGCTGTGAGTGGCATAAGACAGCTTTTCCTATCTTATATATGCTTATATGTACCAAAATTTATACGACTAATTCCAGTTTCTTTAAAAAGCTCTAAACTGAAACACATCAATACAATTTTCTATTTAGACCCCAAGTTAAAACTTATCATGCTAACCACTAAGTAAATAACTTCAAGTTCAGACAATAGATTTCATACATACTTGTATTTCTGAAAGAAGTTCAGTGGTTCAAAGAGCTTTGACCAGTCTGATTTTCCTTTGAGAATCTCATCTGTAATTTCAAGACCTACAAATATAGTTGAAAATCTTATCAATGTTTTTTAAAGATTACCATGACAAACTTTAGAAGACTGTAACAATAACTGACAGAAGAAAAAAAGCAGGAATTCCCCTGCCAAAATGCAGAACCCACAACTGCTTATTGGAAAACTGGTCTCTTATTGCCTGCAGTGGGCATATTTCCCAGAGAAATCTTAAACCTAGAACACCTCAGTGAGCAAAACTAATTCAGATAACATGGTTTCAGAGCAAGAATGACACTTCAATAAGCACAGAATGTACTTTACCACGTTGGAACTCCTCTACCATGACTGCTCGTGTAGACACAGACACATTGTATGTGGAATTCTGCTGTGGATAGGCTGGGGTGATGATGGGCATTACATGGTACCGGTCTGATGGGTTCACCTACAAGGTAACAACAGCTCTGTTTAGCACCAGTTTAGGTCAGAACAAAGTTTTAATGCTTCTGATTTCAATGGCTGCCTACCCTAGGGTCCCAGACTGGTAAATTAAGAAAGCTCTCTTCAAGTCGTTTCAGCAATACTGGCTTTGGCCAATCCCTATAGATGAAAAAACAGTAGAGCATCCATTTTAAGCTCTGCAATTCAGGGCTGCATGGGATATTGTCAATGTATATCTTTATATAAAGAACTACAAGTGTTACTTCTTTATACAAATTAAACAGCTTTTACCATTTTGAAAAAATCAAGAAGAACTTGTTAATGAGAGTAGATGCCAAAGCATTTGGGTAGAGTTGACATATTCTTGCTACCAGCATGGCCCAGGAGACTCCACCAAGAAATCCCATGATGTTGGAGTAAACACCACGCCCTGGAATGGATACCATGCAGTTAGTTTGTGGTCTTTCAAATCTGCACAATCTATAGAAAACTGAATGCGTTTCAGCCTCCACGACATTTATCTTTGCAGTGCAGCAAGGCCAAATTGCTGGTCCTTACAGCAATGCGAAAAAGAATCAGTACAACACCACATCCCAAAATATTGCTACTGTGAAACTTGCTTGTGCTGCTACACCTACTGCTTCACTTCAATTCCCCTTAAGACAAAGGTTCTGCCATTGTTCTACTACTTGCTCTAGCCATGTGGGCAAATGGGACTTATTCCTTTTACACTTAATTGAGAATTTTTATCATTTGTAGTCAGGTTCCTGATAAGCAATGCAGCAGTGTCTCATAAGCATTCCCCTCTTCTCTGAACTTCATCTCCACTAAAAAAAAACACATGGAATTTACCATATGGACAGACCATGAACCTAAACTGAAAGGCTTTTAATATAACAACTGTCATTTCAGCAGCAATCCAAAGCTGAGGTACAGCCAATAGAGAGCATGAGGTGCCTCTGAAAGGTTTAAAGATCACAAACCACCCTGCCACTCACGTTTTGCCCACAGTTTAATTGCACGGAGAGTGAGCCGAAAGTTCTCCAGATTGGGCACCAGGCGCAGTATTTCATCTGTAACTCTGCTGCCTGCAAGACAAAAGGTGAAGCACAGGAGTTCCCAGTAACAGGCACAGGTCGGGTGTTCCTACATAGGATCAGCAGCTTACAGCTAATGGTTCAAATCTAGGAAAACAGGTCTGGATTACCTGTTTTGTATTAAATTATTAATTGCACAAAACATTCAGCATTACTTTAGGTAACTGTGCCCTCAAGAGCTTTTTCACAGTTTAGACTACAACATTCAGATAAAACCTCTCCACAGGATGTTTTGGCCATAAACTACAATGCAGGAAGCTCCACCTCAGCATGAAGAACTTTACATCGCAGGGTAGCAGAGCACTGGAATGGGTTACCACAGGAGATCATGAAATGTCCCTGACTAGAGGATTCAAAACTCACCTGGACACATTCCTGGGTCAGCTGCTCCAGGTGACCGTGCCTTAGCTGGGGGGTGGACTGGATGATCTCCAGAGGTCCCTTCCAACCCTAAATATTCTATGATTCCAGAAGCTAGGTTTCTTTTGACAGCCAGTAACCATTAAACCAATTCGTGCTAAACATTGAGCAAGTCGGACTTCAGGTATTTTAATTACTTTTTTTTTATGAACAACCTTGTTTATCCTTCATACATTCTTATCAAGTGCCCTACTTAGTCATCGGAATTGCTGGGGCAAGCTGGAGCACTGCTTACAAACCAATGAAACAAACATGAGACACAAATCTATGCAAACACACAACTCCTTGGAATATCTAAATTTAGGCCCATTGGTCACCTCCTCAGAACTCAATTACACTGGAAATCAGCTTCTGTATCTTGTACAGAAATGTGCATTGTGTAATGTGCATTCTATGCCAATTTACAAGGTGTGTCTTTACAAGGTGTGCAGGACATGCTCACCATTTAGGCTCCGTATGCATCTTATATCCAGGCTTTTGAGGCACGAGTCATCCCTGAGATCGAGATCATCAGAAACTGTTGGCAAAGACAGCTTTGCAAACACGAGATCAATCTTCAAGAGAAAAAAGGTTGAAATGTGATTTACAATGCAGCACTCTTTGCAGTGAGGGACACTTGGTCATTGACGTGGTTAACATTTGTACTTAGAATTAGGGGACCACAGATAAATATTTATTTGCAAGCAAACAAGAAAATTGCTCTAAGTTCCCTATTTGTTTACAAAACCACCTTTTTTTTAAGCTAGGGAAAGGAAGAGGGTTTTTTTTTTTGAAAGCTGGAAAGATTATTCTAAACTTAGAATTCCTATTGGAAGGAAATTTTAAATTAAACCATAAAATTAAGAGTAGTTAAAATCACCTCAACTATACTTCAACAAATGAGAGAGCATTTTCTTTTTGCTGTAAGGCCTTAAGCATTTGGTATAACCTAAGGCAAGTAAATTATTCTGTGACTATCTATACCAGATAAAGGCTACAAAGAGGTCCTTGAATAAGTGTCTTTGTGATAGTAATACCAAGCAGCAACTTGCTTAGGTATTACAGCAAGAGAGTATTTATTCTCTACATGAAATGTATCCCAGATAGAAGGATTCCTGCAGCTGACAAACTGAGGTAGGAGTCCAGTCAGTAGTTTTACTTTTCATTTTCCATGTTGTTTGTCTCACAGGGACTTCATTTTTGATCTGCAGCAGAACATCAGGTGCTTTGTGCAGGGAACCACAACAGAAACACCCCTTGCAGAAAGGGAGCTCTTGCCAGAGCTCAGGGGAGTCAGCAAGGACACTGCCTCTACTCCCACTCTGCACATCCTTGGGAGATAAACGCCACCCAAGAAGGCTACCCTGGTCTGCAGCACGGGTTTAAAAAAAGATGTTGCCAGGCTAGCTAGGGGCTTATTTTCCTAGAAGATCTCATTTTACTTCTGGAATTAAGTTGCAATGTATTAATAACCAATATACCAATAACCTCATAAACAGCAGGATCATAAAACCCTGAAGAGGTTATCCTACTCCAAAGCAAGAAAAAAAATTCTCACTTAAAGGAGAAAAAAAAACTAAGTACAAATTAAAATTCTTACCTCAATGCCATCAAATTCAAATTTGATAACAGGTACATATGCATCCTCAATGGCCTGTGAAGGAGAGGCTATCTCTAATAAGATATCCTTTTGCTACTTTAAAGTTTTTCTATACTATGATAAGATACAGAATTTATGCTAAACTACTCAGGACAAAGACTGAGTTCCTTCCAAATGTAAAAAATCCTCATAACTCTCAGGCAGGATAGCACTATTATGGTACTAATACTAGATTTTATTAAAAGATCTTACTTAGGCAAGAGATTGAGAGGCTGATCATGTGTTGTAACAAGCAGTGCACAACAAACCATCGGTATCAGTGCAGCCCTTCCTACATCCAAGGCGAAAACACAGCAAGGGACAACCTTGATTTTTGATAGAGCTGACTCATTCCCAAAACCCAGGGAGGGGAGAGGAAGCACAAAAACTCTTAGGTGAGGTAGTCACTGGGGAAAGGATCCAAGAGCTAGACAGCAACATTTTCATGCTGCATAAACCAGTATATTGGAAGGTACTCAAAACTGGTTTAATGTTGGCTTGTAAGATATTAGCTACAAATCCAAGTCTTTAACATGAATTCTTACTGTAAAATTTACACAATCAAGCAGAGAGTTTACTCACTCTCAGGTTTTTTACTTCCTCTTGATTCTTCAGTTTTTCAAAGAATGACTGAAAAAAATCTGATCTTTCCACATGACTGGGAGCAACACAAAGGGCATCGATGTCTGAACCTGCAGAGATTCCATTTCTCCTGTTACTGTTGGAAGTCACTTTCCAACATCAGAACTATGAGCAAGCAACTGAAAGTACTACCTTTGGTGTGTACTCCAAGTCTGTAGGAGCCAAATGTAAATACTTTGCCACCAACTTGTTCTGTTATTGAAGGGGGAAGATTCTGTGGGTAGAAGAGAAAGTTTAAGATGCACATTATCCTCTGTACAAGTTTAACTTGCATGAAAGTTATTTAGAAAAACTGATTCAGCCTGTATAAGTAATGTCTTCTCCCTCCCTTACTTTTTAGTTTACTAGGTTTTGATTCTGTTTTTCTGAAATAAGATGAGCTTGCAAAAAAAGATTATAGGTGATGTAGCAGTACTTTTATTAATTCATACAAATTAAGACCTATTACTAGACTTCCCTGCAGCAGAGGCACATAAATTAACACAACCTAAGAGCAAAGGGCATGTCTAAAATCATAATTGCAAGCTACACTGAGTGCTGCAGGCTGTCTGGGGCAAGATTAGTGCTAATTTTACCATCTTTCTCATCCACAATGCCTTGTTTTGGCTTTGTTAACAGCTACGAGTCAACTGATTGAGCCAATACAGGAATTTATTCAGTCCCCCAAAGACTGCGAGATCTTGATCTTGAGATATCTTTTACAACTTATTTCAGTGGCAGTTACTACAGATCTACTTGATATTTAATTAGTTAAAAGCTGAACTTAAGCACAGATCCCAGTAGTCTAGCCTTTAAATCAAAAGGCTTCAGCTGTTTTGACAAAAACAAAAAAAATTCTTACCTTGCTTTCAGCAAGCTCTGAAATCCATTCTCTGACAAAGTCATTCAGTTTACCAAGAACAGTTGTCCTGTTAAGAAAATGCATGTTGTTTCTTAATAAAAACCAAAAAATAAACAAACAAAAAATCCAAAGAGGTTAACAAATTTCAGTCCTGTTATACCTATGATAGAGTTCTTCTTGATCTTCAAACACCCCAAATGGCTTCATTGCTTCAATCAGCTTCTGAGTATGGATGTGGTCTTTATCACTAGGAGGAGCCAAGCTAATTGGAGAGGTAAGTCCATAGTGCCCTTGAGGCTGGTTCTGCTGCCTGGAAGTACTAAGAGAAAATGCAGGGATGAGTACATAAAAGAAGAAAACTTTACCAGAAAACACCCTTTAGCTTACACTTCACAAACCCATTTCTGCCCTTTTACCCAATGTTAAGGAGGAAAGAATCTTGCTTACCAGTTTTAGAACACTAGACCTCGCACAGAAGTCACAACTACTTAAAAAAAAAGCCCAAAAAAACATTTATGGATGTAAGAAACCATCCAAGATGCTGCCATCTTAACACAATTTATTTGCACTGCTCCAGCCCATCAGAACTAACTTCTGGGAAACGAAAAGGTTTGAAACCCACCAAGGACAACCCTACAGAAAGCAGAAGTTTTGGACAGTTCAGTTTCAATTTAAGGATATTCCAGTTTCCCACTAGCACCAAACAAGACAATTCAGCTTCTTTTAATTAAATGTTTTTATTAGGTTCCTACTGATCCAGGAAGGGCATTATAGTTGTTTGTAAAGGCATACAGGTCTGTTAAACAGAGTTGATGCAATAAATTTGGTGTATTACTATATAAACCCCTTGCTTTAGAAAGGGGAAAATGGAGAAAAAGCTCCTTATTTTGCATTACCAGCTGAAACCAGGAGAGAGAAAGGAGTGGGACAGGAGGTGAGGATGGTGCTTAATGCATCTCTACAGAAACAACAGCACCAAAAGGGGAAGACACCCCAAAAAGTCTCATTGTGGTCATGAGGGTGCAGACCCTAAGGCTCAAGGCTCAACTGTACCATTATTTAAGCAGGATATTTTCCTCCTTCACATATGTACAGCTTCAAAGACCAGCTGGGTTATAGAGATATTTATACCTATTTAAGATACCAGACCCCATTCTGCCTGGAACAAGATTAGGAAATGTTCAAAGGCAAGTTTCACCACTTGATTTTTAAAAAGCCAGGTTAATGCACAGCTCCTTATTTCTAATTGTTGCCTTTACTCCCCCTCTTAAAGGGATTTCCTCTCTTTAAGTATCCTTATGCAATTACACACAGAGCTTCTAGTCACCTATGGGGTTTTTTTCCTGCCCCTTTCCTCTCTCCAAGCCTGTTTTTCAAACTTTCTTCTCTGTGCTTTCCAAAATGCTGTGGGGAACAGGTATTAGGACTGTAGTGCTATCCAATAGTGTCCCCAGTCAGAAGATCTGTTTACATACAAGCCTAAATAGGCCTTGACCTAATTTACCTTGTTTATAGACATTGACAATTTCCACTTCATAAATAAAAAATATTCATAATGAATATTTTCCTTCCTATGCTATCATTTTCATAACAAATACAGGAGGAAGGCCTGTACTTAATTGCTGTGCATTACAACTAAATTAAAACACCTACAGCAGCAACTGCTCCCATGTTTTATGCATTGCTTGCATTGTATGACTTGCACTTCATAACGTTTGCACAAAACAAGAACAGGATTTAGACTACACCAGCATTTAAGATGTTTCCAATGTACAAAAAGGCACCACCTGCCTTTCATTGCCTCATTCTGCCTACAGATATATAAGTGGAGATTGACGTAAAGCAAAGTATCAATTAGATAAGCCTAGATTAGCATCAAATATGTTTACTATTAATTAAATATTATTCATATAAAATTCCTCTAGTCAACAGTAGATATTTTTCAGTCGCTTACACACATTACTGATAGTTCGACCTCACAAGAGGTGAGGGAAACAGCACCTGGAAAGTCTCACTGAGTGAAACTTTAAATAATTTGTTGCCCTTTTCGAATGAGCAATAAATGAAGTCCTACTTTGCTCTCTCAAGCATACAAGCACATAATGAAGGGATCTTATGGATCCTAACACACATGGCACACTACCTATTCACCCAAAACCTTCTGCTTAAACAAGAATCCTGTTGCACTTCAGTATTTTGCCAAATCTTGTTACAACCTGTGCATCACAGCAAAAACCTTCAACGCGTGTCTGTTCTGGTAAAGCACGCTTTTACACAAAAAGCCAACCTAAACGGATTTATTGCGGGTTTTGCCCCTTATTTATAGCTTCCCAAAGCTGCAAGGCGTGTCTCCCCCACACACCAAGGCCTGAAGGGTAAGTTCACACTGTGGCTCAGGGCGCTGCCTTCCGCCATCGGTGCGGGGCAGAACCACCAGAAACCAGCTCCTGAGCCACCAAAACCAACAGCGGGACCCAGGGAAAACAAGGAAGAAGGAAAATCCCCACCACCTGGGACCTTCAACGAAGGGAGCCCAACTCCACCCTTCGCCGCTGCCGCCCCAGCTCATGCTGCGCGGAGCCCGCGGGCGGCTGCCGCCAGGTCAAAGCTCCCCGGCCCCGAGGCTCAGGCAGTCACTCCGCTCCTCTGCAGGGGCTCCGCAGGACGCGCCGCCCCAGACCAAGGCGCAGCCCCGTTACCGCCGTTCCTCGCCGGCCATTGCCGTTGCTTGGCGACGGCGGCGCCGCCACACGCGGTGAGACCCGGGCGAGGCAGCCCCGCCGCCCGCACTCCACCATTTATTTCAACCGAGAACTCCTCCCCTCGGGCGAGGGCAGCTCCGGGCCCCGCGGCCCGCCAGGGCCCCCTCGCGGGGCAGCTCCGGCGGGTGTCCCCCCCGCCCGGCCCCGCTCCGGCGCTGTCCCCTCAGGGCAGGGCGGGAAGCGCCGCCGCCGCCTCACCCGCGCGTCTCCTTCATGGCGCGCGCGCACAGCCCGCGCCACCGCCCGCGCTTCCCGCCCTTCTACACCACCGCCCCCTTCCCGGCGGCCCCCGCGGCCCCCGCTCGCACCGCCCCCCCTCCCCGCCCCCGGCGCCCCCTGGCGGCTGCGGCGGTGCCGTGTGTCCCCTCACGGCGACCCCACCATCCCTTCGGGCCGCTGTCGGGGTACCTGAGCGCTTTTTGGGGAGGGTTTTCCTTCCCTGTGGGCCATATTCCTTCCCCGAGGAGGATATTCCTTCCCCGTGGCGCTGACAGACCCGCCGAGGCCGGGCTAGTCCCCGGCATGAGGCGGACCCACATCACACCCTCCCTCCCTCAGGACGTTCCCGCTCCTGACATCCTCTTCCAGAAAGGAGGGGTAAAAAAGAACAGGAATCGCTCTCGAATTAGGCTCCTGACAGCCTCCTGACATCTCCTTCCAGAGAGGACGGGTGAAAAACCCCCCAGGAATCGCTCTTGTGTTCGTTTATTCTCATCCAGTAAGTGCAAGCCCAGCATCCTTTGACTGCAGCTGGTATTGGGAGGATTTAACATACATTGCCAATGTCAGCAAAGTACCCACCGCAACATCAGGACCATACGTAATTATTGTGAAAACGCAGAGTGGTTTGGATTGAAAGGCACCCTGAAGATCATCCATTTCCAGCTCCGGTGCCATGGCAAGGACACCTTCCACTGTCTACTTGCTCCAAGCCCCGTCCATCCTGGCCTTGTACACTTCCAGGGATCCATGGGCAGCCAGAGTCTGTCCTGTCCCACTGCCTCACCACCCTCACAGGGAAGATTTTTTCCCCCAATATTTAATCAAAATATACCCTCTTTCACTTGGGACCCATTCCCCCTACTGTCACTACATGCTCTTGTAAATAGTCTTGCCTCATCTTTCCTCAAAGTCCTGTTCAGGCCACAGTTATAATAATTTTGGACCAATGCATTGTATTACAAATGGGGTATTAAATCAGCCAAACTACCCTGAGAATATGGCATTTAGATGACAATTCCCCACTCACATCCAAGTCTGTAAGAAGTTAAAAAATCAAAAGCATAATGTTTCTGTAAAGTTGAATAGATCTTTGGAAAAAAATTTACTTCCTGCTGCCCTGATGTCTTGTTATATGACAGCCTTTCTCTGAGATTAGCACATGATTTCTGTACTTTTCTGGGTTGTCTTTAACATCTTTTTTGAGATAAAATACATATTATCTTGCAAGATGCTTTGAAGATACACAAACCTAACTTTTGTCCTGAAATTTTAATAAATTAACAAAACAAATGTACCTTTAGCAGGATTGTCTTACCTACCCTAGTCAAATAATTTAATGGGGAGTTGAACATTCTTCTAACTATTGAACATTTGCATGGTAGTGCTTGTGCTAAAATTTCAGTCTTTAATATGATTGATGCTTCTGCAAGGAATTATAGTGGTAAAGAAAAAAATATCAAGCAGATTTATTGAGATCTTTTGTTGAACCTCCAGCCAAAAACTTTTTATTCTCAGAAATCCATTAGGGTATTCTTTAATATTTTATGGTCCTCACAACAATACTGTGATCCTACAACCAGGAAATCTTGTATACTGCTTCTTTTCTTCTTTTCTTTTCTTTTCTTTTCTTTTCTTTTCTTTTCTTTTCTTTTCTTTTCTTTTCTTTTCTTTTCTTTTCTTTTCTTTTCTTTTCTTTTCTTNCTTTTCTTTTCTTTTCTTTTCTTTTCTTTTCTTTTCTTTTCTTTTCTTTTCTTTTCTTTTCTTTTCTTTTCTTTTCTTTTCTTTTCTTTTCTCTCAGGTTCATACCAGCTACTGAGTGTGAGGAAAACACCTGAGTTTACAAGGCAAATCACCCAAAATTAAATTTAAACCTGAAACCTGTTTCTGCTGCATGCTGTAGTACCTCAATAGGAGCTGCGCTTGCCCACGTATGCGATGGGAGGTTTTTAATGGAGAAGTGATGCTTTCCTTTAAATCACCTGAAACATTTAGGAAAAAATTAGCAGCTCATCAAGCACAAAAGTTTTTCTTCGATGCAACTCTAATGTTAAATGGAAGTGAAGATTAATCAAGCTTAACCATCCTCAATGCTCTGCTAATAAAGAGAAAAGACAGGAGGTGTTTGAGAAACAGAAAGTGTTGAAGTTGGAGCACAGTAGTCACGTGGCCTCTTAGGATGGCTAGAGCTTGGCTTCACATAAAAAATTATTTTCTGGAAAAGGACTGGTGCTGAGAAAAATAATTAAATAGGGTTCTTATTATTAGGGAGTTTATGAATTTTAATTTCCAGTGTTACATGAGGTGATTGCATCAGTTCTTCTATGTGTTGCTTGGTTTTGTTTTTTACAGAAAATAAGAGTCTCCTATTGTCTGCCATTGATTTAGTCTAGCATTAGTTAGTTACTATTAGCTATTTGTTTGGGATTTATTCTGTATATTCTGCCCACATAACTTCTGCAATTTTATGTGTAGCAGTGACTAAACCATATTGTGTTTCAGAGTGTATAGAGTTTTGGACAGGCTGTTTCAAGGTAGTGCTTTCCTCTGCTGGATGTGTTAACTTTTGTGTAGAATCTGGGTTATAGAAATGGCTAAAAACAAATATCGTAGCTGGTGTTCTTTTTTGGTGAGTGTCTATGTCATGCATATAGCATTAGCTTGAGAGTGATGTAAAGTGGGGGGGGAGTTTAGATTTGTTTTAGTTTTTAAATTGCTGCCGCGTTGTCAAAGAGCCAATATCCTTCTCTGTAGTAAAAATGAGGTGATATCTGAGTACTTTCAATCTGTTCGAGGCTATTACTGAATTATGGAGAGGTGCTTTATAAGCACCTAGGCTATGCATTTTCACATGTCAGAGTTTGTATATATGATGTTAATCTAATCTGTGAAGTTAATGACATTAGTGTGATGTGGTTTATAAAGCACTTGTGGGAGACCATTTGTGTGATAGACTTGTGAAGTTTGACAGCCTATTTATTCCTGGATAAAAGAAGTTATCTGTATATTCCTTATAATCTTGCTGTGATTGTTTCTTACCTCTTTTCCACTTGGGTCTATTCAGGTGCCACCCCATATTCCATAAAGACTTTTGCTTGTAAGTGCCTGTCCCTTTTCAGTGGGAAGTGGCAACTTTGTCCATTTTTCCCTCTTTAAAAGCTGTTTTTCTCTATCCCAAGTGAGCTAATTGCCCATTACTATTTTATGATGAAATGCTTTGTGATTATCATATTTAAATGCTATAAAATTTTAATGATTAAAGATGAATGAGCCTAAACAGATTTTTTTTAAATGCATCTCTGAAGGAATTTGGGAGTTATGCATTAAAAGTTATGTACCAGCTACTGCACCTGACTCTCTGCTTCAGCATGTGAAATATGACTGAGAGGTGTGAGAACCCCAGGCTTGGTCTGGGGTCTCGTGTGGTGGTAAAGTCTCTCCTCCAACCCGTGCTTCCAAAGAAAAACTCTGCAGCCTCTTTCTGTTCGGTCTCAAGGCAGTTTATTGTTAGTTATCTAACAGATTGTCTTCTCGGGCTGCAGCTGTTTGGTCAGCGGCCCAGGCAGAGACACACACACACACCCTGACATCCTCTCTGTCTGCTGTCTTCTTCTTCTCTCCCCCCGCCCAGGGCTGCTGCTATCTTTTATATGATATATTACGTATTACATGTTTATAGTTTTCCCCCCAATACCTATTACCTATATTACCAAGTGCTTTTCTACTCTAAACCAATCTGTGAGTGCCAACATCATCAAGAACATGGAGGCAAGGAAGAAGAAAAAGGAAGAACAGGATCAGCCCACTTTCCTCCATCCTAGAACTTCTGACCCCCATGTACAAAGTAACCCCTCCCCCCCCATACAGGTGCTAAAACCCCCCTGTACAATACTAAAAAAATTTCCCCTCTGTTTTGTAACTACTTTTACTATACTATCTAACCCTTTGTGACTGCTTGTTCCACCTCCAAAGTTGGTAACTCATTCCATGGCTCAAACTCAAAATCACAGCTGTTTCTAGCTGCCTGCCAGGGTCTAAAATGCTTCTGACCAAGGCCTGGAACCTCTAAAAATGTCTGAGAGACATTTTGAGTTCCAACAGAGAGGGAGACTGCTGCAGAGAAGATATTTGTGTGGTATTAAAATATTGTCCACATCACAGAAATTTATCAGAAAAAAAATCATTTATTCAAATTTTGTGTTTGTGCAGAGGATCTTATCTGTATAATGTGTTATATTTCACTAGAGAGATTATTGTCAGCAATAATCTGTATATATACATTTGGGCTGTGATGAATATCAGCTAAAATATAGAATTCAATTCTGGAAAGCTGCATTTTGTTATAAATGTTTCCAAGATTCACTAATCTATCACATGAAAGATCCATGTTGAGAGATAACACTGGAACAGCAGAAGGTGGGGTTACTGAATACAGATCTTGGATGGATTTAAATAAGTGGTAGCTGAAGGATTTGAGTACTTTGTTGTGGATTTTGTTTTGGGTTTTTTTTCTTTATTTTTGAATTTCATCAATTTACCAAGGGGCTGTAATTCTGTAGAGTTGTAACCTTACATGCTGCTGAGAATT